ACCAACATTTTGAACTGACGAAAGACAGGTGATTTTTTTATCAGGATTTTTATTTAAAAGGTCCAGTGGAATCAAATCTTGATAATCATGTTTGTATCAGGGTATCATACATTGTGTCTTTGTTACCATAGAATGAGCTTTAGATCTCAGATTTGTGATTGGATAAAGTCTTGCAGGTTTGCACCGCCATGTCTCTATAGCCCAGGATGAACAAACCAAACCCGGATTAAAGAGGGACACTACAAAGTACACAGTGAACCTTGAATTTTGAAGTCACTTCAATATTTGTTTTGGAAGCCTTGACTGCTAATGTAAACTCTTAATGAATCAGTCTGTAGCCGCTTTAACTGCGCATGGCAGTCATGTTTGAAAATGGAGAATGAGCAGTGCAAAAGCAGTACACATGAGAAGTAGTAAAGCACTGGTGGGGTACTTTAAAATGCTCGGCAGCCTTGTGCTAATAACAGTGCAGAGGTGAACTGAAATGAACCTCTGCAATTCAGGCAAACATCAGGAAAACTGTAGACCCTCCCTAACCCCCATCTGTTAGATCCTACTGGGAAACAGATGAGAGAGAGAGGGGGGGAGGGATGGAGAGGGAGGGAGAGAGATGGTGAGGGAGAGAGGGAGAGAGAGACTGAGAGAGGCAGAGAGAGAGGGAGAGAGAGAGATCTGTAAAGCTACTAGTACTGAGTCAGCTGTAAACCGGAAGTTGTCAGTGAAGTTAACGGGGTATCCCCTGTACCATCTAGTGTTATAGTCCTCTCCTGCTGATGACAGTAGCTGTTCCCCTTCAGATGTATAGGTTCCATTATCTATTGATTTCAGTACATGTTAATCATAAGCCTGTATGATGAATTATTTTATTATCATTAACACACTTCTTCATTAACCAATAAGTGCTACACTTTTTATATTTGTTGTGATTTCAATTTTATTGTCGGTTTTGGATTTTCAACAGATGTTTTTCATTCTATTATGGTGCTACTACATTCCCTCCTTTTTCTCTCTCCCTACATATTATTAATATACAAGCACACACATGTCCCTGATCAGTGAGCAGTGGGGTCTATTCTGAGCAGAGTCCCGTGAAACCCAAGTGCTTCCTCGTGGCTGCCTCCTCATCCTTCACCCTGATTAACCAGCTGCAGTGTGTCTGTTGTACGTTTGAGCTGCAGTTGTCTGGGTCTGGAGGGAAATGTCAGCAGTCTGGGACAAGCGACAGTGCACAGGTTGTGAATGTGAGTCATTGTGACAGATGGTGGTGGCCGTCACAATAAAAACATTCCTTTCCAAATAAAACACAGGTCATCACCACAGGTTAAAAGACCAGAGTTTATGCAGCTTGAATCTGGGCGATTGTATTTTTGATTCTTTTCTGGAAAAGGTTTTATTCAGTATGACATGAAAAGACATCACACCTAGATTGATTAATTGATCGAAGGACCAGTGCTTTTGCATGTTTTAATTAAGATGTATGTCTTTTTACTTATCTGTTCATTTAAATGTGTGTAGTTGTTGCTTTGCAATGCATATCTAAAGTTAAAGCTAACTGAAAGAAAAAAACTTCTTGCAATATGCCACAAAAATATCACAACTTGGACCAAAATAAGATGAGAAAAAATGTTCGGACTAAGTGGCCATTTGATTTATTTACTGCTTTAAAAGGAGCTGGAACCAGGGGCTCCTTGAAAGGGAATATACATATTTATATATACATTTATTTTAACATCTCTTTAATACTAATGCACAAATATGGTTTACATCCACGTGCAATCACCCTGTGTCACTGCACTTTGCTCAAGTACATTTCTATATAAATAATATTTTCATAGTGTAAGGTGAATATTATGTACATATTCTGTATTTTTTTTTTTTTAGATAGATAGACTGTGTGTGTATGTGTGTGATATTAAATGCAAACAACATTAACAGCTAAAACAAATTTCACATGCAGCAACATAAGAAGCCTGCAGCACTGCAATTCTGTGTAGTGGACTTTTATTTAGAAGGTGCTGAGCGGAAGCCCGGGTGCAGAGATGTGAGTGTGAGCGCAGTGAGGCGCAGTGAGGGAGCGCAGAACAGGTTGGAGCAGCAGACTGACGCCGCGTCGCGCACACTGGAGGCTGCTTTCCTGGAGGAATATGGGTTGTTTTTGTTGATTCCAGCGTTTGTGATTAAAACCTGTGGATTTTTATTTCATTTCGTCTCCTGAGCTAGGCTCGAGAAGGAGCCGGTGGGAGGAGGACTGCTGGAGATCCCGTGGAAGAAGCTGCTTTTTGTTTTACGTTGCTCAGAAACGCCAACAAAGAGCATTCGGGAAGTAGCCTGCTGCGATAACGCAACTTAGTTCAGTAACAAATACAAAGTGCGGCGGTGGACACGCGCGTCAACATGGTGCGCAACAGACTCCTGCGTGCGCTCCTGGCGGTGTCGTGTTGTCTTCTGTTCCTGAACGTGGGGATTTTCCGAGTGAACGGGCAGTACAGTGACCGAGGAATGTCGATACCGGAGCACGGGTTCTGTCAACCCATCTCCATTCCCCTGTGCACGGACATCGCCTACAACGAGACCATCATGCCGAACCTGCTGGGTCACACCAACCAGGAGGACGCGGGGCTGGAGGTGCACCAGTTCTACCCGCTGGTGAAGGTGCAGTGCTCCCCGGACCTCAAGTTTTTCCTCTGCTCCATGTACGCGCCCGTGTGCACGGTGCTCGAGCAGGCGCTGCCGCCGTGCCGCTCTCTGTGCGAGCGGGCGCGCCAGGGCTGCGAGGCGCTCATGAATAAGTTCGGCTTCCAGTGGCCAGACAGCCTGGCGTGCGAGTCCTTCCCGGTGCACGGCGCCGGGGAGCTGTGCGTCGGCCAGAACATGTCGGACCGCACAGAGCCGGAGCCCCCCGCTCCCTACCCCACCGACCGCACACCGGCAGACCCCATGAGCGGTCAGTTCAGGTGCCCGGCCTCGCTTCACGTGCCCCCCTATCTGAACTATCGCTTCCTCGGGCAGGAGAACTGCGGTGCCCCGTGCGAACCTAAGAGATCCCACGGGATGATGTACTTCAGCGAGGAAGAGCTCAAATTCGCCAAAATCTGGATTGGCATCTGGTCAGTGCTGTGCTGCGCTTCCACCTTATTTACCGTGCTGACCTACCTGGTGGACATGAAACGCTTCAGCTACCCAGAGCGGCCGATTGTCTTCCTCTCTGGGTGTTACACCATGGTGTCCATCGCCTACATCACTGGATTTTTACTGGAGGACAAGGTGGTGTGCAATGACAGATTTGATAATGACATCAGGACTGTGGTGCAGGGCACTAAGAAGGAGGGCTGCACCATCCTCTTCATGATGCTGTATTTCTTCAGCATGGCCAGCTCAATCTGGTGGGTCATCTTGGCTCTCACCTGGTTCCTGGCAGCAGGGATGAAATGGGGCCATGAGGCCATTGAGGCTAACTCTCAGTACTTCCACCTGGCAGCCTGGGCCGTGCCCGCCATCAAGACTATTACCATCCTGGCAGTTGGGCAGGTAGATGGAGATGTGTTGAGTGGCGTCTGCTTTGTGGGCATTAACAGTGTGGATGCCCAGCGGGGCTTTGTCCTGGCACCGCTGTTTGTTTACCTATTCATCGGAACCTCCTTCCTCTTGGCGGGCTTTGTGTCCCTGTTTCGCATCCGGACCATCATGAAGCACGACGGCACCAAGACAGAGAAGCTGGAGAAGCTGATGGTGCGGATAGGGATCTTCAGCGTGCTGTACACCGTGCCGGCCACCATCGTCATCGCCTGCAATTTCTATGAACAGGCCTTCAGAGAGCAGTGGGAGAGGACGTGGATCAGCCAGACGTGTAAAACATACGCTGTGCCATGTCCTGTCCAGAACCACCCCAACATGAGCCCGGACTTCACTGTCTTCATGATAAAGTATCTCATGACGCTCATTGTGGGCATCACGTCCGGATTTTGGATTTGGTCTGGGAAAACGCTCAACTCCTGGAGAAGGTTTTACACAAGACTGGCCAACAGTAAACAGGGGGAGACCACAGTGTAATGTGGTGTTACCACACACAGACTGACAAACTGAATGATAATCCTCTTTATTATTTTCATCTGATTTGTCTTTGAGACACTCGGTATGTTTTTTAAATGTACATATACATTTGTGAGATTTTTGTAAGTATATATTTGTATTTAAAGATTTATACGATTCTTTTTCAAAGAATACATTTTTTTCACGGACTCACTGTGGACACTACTGGGAGCATTTTCTTTGATCAGTGAACTGCCTGAGAGCAGTGGGGTCTATTCTGAGCAGAGTCCCGTGAAACCCAAGTGCTTCCTCGTGGCTGCCTCCTCATCCTTCACCCTGATTAACCAGCTGCAGTGTGTCTGTTGTACGTTTGAGCTGCAGTTGTCTGGGTCTGGAGGGAAATGTCAGCAGTCTGGGACAAGCGACGGTGCACAGGTTGTGAATGTGAGTCATTGTGACAGATGGTGGTGGCCTGTAGCTCAGGTCGTGACGGTTAAAACATTCCTTTCCAAATAAAACACAGGTATTCATGACAGTTTGAAGGACCAGACCAGTGATGTTGCATGTTTTAATCCTTTAGATTGTGTCTTTTTTAACTGAGATTTTTATAGCATTTTTCCTGCTGTCCTTGAAACAGCTTTTTCAGTAAGATATGAAAATCTGCATAGTGTCCCTCAAGGCTGAACTCTATTTTGTTCAAAAATGTGTCGTTGCATTACAGTGCACGTGTCAAATCAAACCAAATTGAAAATAAGCTGTGTTCTGACACAACAATGGCAGCTTTGACTGAAATAGGAAAAAAAATTCCCACATATGAAGTGACCATTTGATCTATTTACTGCGAGGAAAGGAGCAGGATCCAGGGACTTTCTGAAAGGAAAGAAAACAAAAGGATACTGTAATGTCGGCTGTAATGAAAGTGAAGGTCTAAAACATGCAAACACACTGTGCATTAACAACAGTGTTTAAACAGCATTAGCACATTGTGTATTTGTATTTAGTGAATTTAGATAAAACCAGCAGGAGTGGAAATTTGAGTTCTTCAAATACAAAACTGGAAAACAACGAAGCGTAAGACCTCTGTGTGTTTAACCACATGTATAACTTGTACCATTTTCTGCATACAGTGCTATGTAAAATCATTGGACACCCTTTGAGCCTTATACAGTTTGTTTTACTTGTCAATATTTTTTCAATTTCACATTTTCTTACAATATTCTATAAAAGCAAAGCACTGAGAAAAACATATTTTCATGGATTCAAATAAGTAGTGTGAGCAAAAATAGGTTCACAATGTGAACTCAGTGTGGAATTGAAATAATCGGTAAATTCATTGATCTGTGAAATAATCTGCAACTATTTTTTGATAAATGATTCATTATTTTAGTCATTTCTCTCACAGGCTCTGGTTTCTCCGATGTGAGAATTGTGCTGCTTTTTGTTTTGGTCACGGATGAGCTGAATAATTTGGGCTCTTTGATTGTCAGTTCACAAAAAAAAACGATTTCAATACATGACCTTGGGCATAGAAAATAATAGGTAAATAAGTAAATTGACTATTGACATCTTTATGAATCTGTAACTACAGGTTCTGTAAATGATGCATAGCTGTGATGTGCAACAATTTTGACTACTGCCAGGGAAACCCCCCAAAACCACCATCACAGTAGAGTTAGAGATATTTTTGGGTGTAGAAAAAATATAGAGTTTCGTGGAATGTCAGCTATATTGGTAACTTTGGGGTCAAGGTAGATCAGTTTTGAAAAGAAGCAACACTGGTATTGCTTTATGTGTCAATGCATAAGAGGTGACTTTAGGTCATGTCTTCAGATACTGAGCTGTAAATGCACCTGCATGATTGTTTTATTTTATTTAGGTAATCTACTTATAAAATCCTCATGGCACATTTTGAAAGCATTTTTACAATTATTGTAATTCAGTAACGGTCATTAAAGTAATAGAATTTCCTTAGGGGGTGTCCAGACTGAAACATGGCATTGTGAATGTGGCTGTCAAGCTGATCCTCGGAGAGGTTGTCTGTCCTGCACATATCACATATGTTTGTAACAAAACATGTTTTTGAATTGTTGTTTTATTTTTCAAGAATATGATCTTAACCTGGAAGGTGAATATGTCAGTTATTGCTGCGAGGCGACTCCGGTCGATGTGCATGCAGAGTAATATGATCCTGGTGAGCGTAGCTGTGTGTCTGCACTGTGGGACTGAAGAGCAGCCAGCAGCTTGCATGTCTTCCACTGCAGGAGAAAGGAAGCCTTGTGCTGAAATGCAGAGCAGCTGCTGTCAGTGCAGCTCAGCTCACACACACATCATGACTTGTGTTCTTGTCAAATGCTCTTCCACATGGTGCTTCCGATTCATAATAATCCTTTCATTGTGTTGACGGCTCTACAATAGTCATGGCTTTGAAGTAATTTCCTTTGCATTTGCTATGAAGAGAACCTTTATATTTATAGAAAAAAAATATATATACACTACATTTCTTTATGAGAATAAAAACAGTCTCACCCTTGTCACTGTCGAGCCTTTGTAAAATTTCTTTTGTTCCGTAAAAATGCTAAAGAAACACAATCCTGCTTGTTTGGCAGATTTCTATATAATTATATACATTTATTGTCTTTATATGTCTGTATGATATGTACAAAACTCACATCACCTCACTACCAAAAAGTTATAAGATATTTTTAAACTATTCCTATATTTTTCATAAAAGATGGGAAAGGACAAAATGTATTTCCTTTCTCTATGTGAAGATGCTTTCACATGAAGCTAATATGACACAAATCAAGTAGGGATTTTCATTTGTATAATCTTTTTGGATCAAGAATCATTAGTGTGTTTCAGTTTTAATTTTGCTAATCCACAGAAGAGGGACAGTAGCACAAGTACAAAATGATTTCCTCTAAGAATGTGACTTCACAAGGTACTAAGTTGACTTGATTAAGTGAATCTGCTGAAGCCTGGTGTTCACTGTGGTTTAGTTTTGTACTTTGTGGTACTTTATACAAATTTTTCATCTCTTGCATATAAAATATGATATAGTGTAAGTGATTGCTCCAAGGCCAATATGGGCAATGTAACACAAACAGCAACCCTAAAGCTGGAAATCAAATTAGAATGAGAACATCAATACCAAGGTCAACTTGGTTTCTTTTCACTTTAAGATAAACATGGTATAGATTAATTTAAAGACTGGAGGCGAGGCACAATTTAAACAGTTTGCTGTTGGATGGCGACTTTTTTTATTTTGTTATTCTAGCAGCAGTGGTGAAAAATCTACAGGGTTTAGTCGTGGAAGTAAAGAGAACACAGGGTGCAGAATAGATCACTAAAAGTATGCAAGTTTTACCTGAGCACAAATAGCAGCTAAGTCCACTTAAAGTATCCAAAGTAAAAGCAGAATCAGGGTTTTATATTATCATTTATTGTTTTGTTACTTAAACAGCTATATGTAAGAACTGTGCTTATGTTGTAACTGTTTCCAATTTCAGAAGCTACAAGCTAACTAGCTAGAGGAATACAAAATACAGTCTTTCCCTCTGAAAGAAGGTGCAGAAGATTAAGAAAGCATAAATAGGAAATTCCAAAGGGCTGTACACATTCACTACCGGAACAGATTCGACTGGCTAATGTAGTGCAGAGAACGATTTTTTTTAAAGCTTTAAATCTTTCGACCCTGGAGTGGCTGCCATGTTCACGGGTCATCTACCATGGTCATTGTTCCAGGCTGCTTGGCCTTTTATCAGTTTCACAGCCTGTAAAAGCACACAGGCCTCTGAGTCCAGACATGGATTGACACATGCATATGACAACTGTGAAAACTGCCCCTCTTTCATAGAAAGAATCAATCGCCGCAGATCTCATTACAAGTTTACCACCAGTGTACAGCCTCTTGTTAATTTCAACTCCCAAGTGGAATTAATCTTCAATACTGGGAGATCCAGTGGATAGAAAAAAGGAAAACAGTGGAAAGAGTTTGTTGTTCTAAGACTTTTCTCTCTACTAATGTGCACATCATAGTAACCTGTAACTGAAGCTGTGGTTGGGTCAGAGGCTCACAGTCCTGCTCTGCTCAGGAGCTTAACTAACATCTGGTTCCACTGTACAATCTGGATATGAACATGCAGTATATTGTTTTACATATGTCATGCTTCTGGGTATCAGGCAGCTGAATCCGTGTCTTGGCGGCTGTTGCATAAAGACAAACAATTCTCAAACAGTAGCTCATTTTGCAGCTAGGATTTTTTTTTTCTTGCCAGTGGGACATGATAATTCCAAGGCTTTTATCGGAGTTTTCGTTATTTCAGGAATTATCTAAAAATGCCACTGTGTTGAATGAAGTGTCCGGTCGCCGCACATTAATCAAGAAAATTAGTGTTTGATCAAGGACAGCCTCAAGGTTGATATTTATTGAATAAATGAATGAATAGGTAGGTAGCTAGGTTTTTTCTGTTCGGACCACAGCTTTACAGTGTTGATTACTCTCAGTCCCCTCATAATATTGTTTCTGGCCACAACAAGCAGCTGTCTTGAGACAAAAAAAGCACACAGACATACAGAGAAACTATAGAGACACATTGAGCAGCTATGGAGCCATATATTTTTAAGACAATGTTGCATTACAATATTTCCCTCTTTAATTCTAGAGGCCTGTATAGCTACAATGGGGAAAAACGTGATCTCAGAGACCTTGACCTCGGTTTGATTGCTGGTGCCAGACAGTCTGATTCGAGTATATCTGCTGATCTGGGATCTTCATCTTGTGATAGACTGGTGACGTCTCCAGGATGTATCATGTCTTCAAGGATTGGTCCATTAATACCATCACTCATTAGTCTGACTATTGTTGCTGACCATGTTCATCTTTTTATCAAACTGGTTTCATGAACAGGACAGTTTGTTCAGTACACGTCAGTGACCTCCACCGTCACGAGATATACATCCAGTACAACCTAACTGAGATATGGTCGAGCAGGAGATCGGCAGCATGAATATGCAGCCAACAGATGCGCGGAAATTATGTGATGCAGTCAGGTCGATATGGAACAGGATCTCAGAACATCTTGCTGAATCCAAGACATAAAGAACAAGCTGTTTTGAGAGTAGACAGAGTACAGTGTCCTCAATAAAGTCCTCTGTGAGAGTCTCTGTCTGTGGAGAGGAAGCTGTGAGACAACTGTCATGCACAACCTATGGAAATTCAAGCATAGCATTAAAAAATGACTCCCTTTTTCTCCCAAACACCAAAAAAGAAACATTTGTAACACTGTCCATTAATAGACCTAAACCACAAGAATCTCACCTGCCTCCACAAGATAGACTGGAGCTGCATTAAGAGGAGATTTGCAATAAATTTAACACTAAGTCGTCACGTGGCAGAACAGCTCAGCATGGTTCTGGTTGGGAGACAAGAAAGTGAAGGGAAGCTGCCATCAGTAGACTTCATTTTAAAGTGAGTGCCGTCGGTCTCTGGTCCAATCAGCAGCTGCCACGCACAGCTCAATATACAAGGGAAAAAAATGTAGAACAGGGTCATTTAGACTATACAAATATATGATTGAAAATTTAAAGTATGAAGTACATACATTTTTTTGGAGGGGGGGATTACAATCAACAGGATTTGTTTGTTTGTTAGTCAGAAATGTCTTCCTTAGCTGATGGGCAAACAAATCCCAGTGCTAAACTTTTTCCCTCGGATTATATCTTGGATTATGTTTCTACACAGAAATAGAAATATCTCAGAAATTTCCACCACTAAAGAAACTTTCATAAGGTCATTAATAACCTTAGTGAGGTTGGAAGCAGCTGCATGTTACAATAATATAAATATACTTTATGTGTTGTAAACAATAGAACATCAATATTTGTTTGATACTTTTAAATTTTCACAATTGCAAGTGGCCAGCCTCTTTTTCTCTACATGTACGTTGCCTATTTATACAGGAAACAGATCTTTTGAACGCATGTGGGTACCCCTGACATTGAGTGGAATGAGCTATAAATAAGAACTGCAGACCTGAGGAAAACGGACCCCCACTGTTCTTTTTTACGCCCCCAAGAGATTTGTATTTTACTCCTCATTGTTGAATCTCAAACTGCCTCAAGGTCAGCTGTGTGCTGCTGCCGCTCCGCTCCTGCAGCAGCAGCATCTTGGCAAATGAGCTGACACCATGCTGCCTGATGCTGTGAACTCCACCTCACTGTCTCCATCTGTGGATCTGTTGTTTTATATACTTCTTAGGCTGCCTCTCACTCATACACCCACATATGTCACAGACTATGCTGCACAAGTCAGATCATTGCCTTTCACCTGTTCCCCTTTTATCTCGTTTCCCTTCTTTCCATGCGCTGAGAGACAAGAGTTACATGCTTGTGCTCACATACCATTAGCATTACAATTAAGATAAACCCAAGTGCAGACTTGTTTTTTCTGCTACTGCCAGTGTGGTGTTATAATATTTGCTGGTTGGCAATTCTTCTTCAGCTCAAATCATAATAAAAGTTTTTTAAAGTGTGCGATGGTGTAGATTCTGAGAGAGTGCGTTTGTTTTTGAAATCTTTTTACTCTGCTTGTCTGCCTGAAACTTGCTGCCTTTGCCATAATCTGCCACGCTCAGCCAGCCTCCTCTGCCACCTCTGCATTCATGTCTGGACTCCTGTCTACCTCTCTGTCAGCACACTCACCCAACTGGATCGAAACTCTGAGATTTAAACTCATCGAGCGGAACCTGGGACTCTGAAAACATTTCTTTGTGTTGACTCATCCATTCTATTTAAGAGCTTTTGGGTTTAAACCTTGTAAACTTGCCTCCATTCTTTGTTCTGCACAGAGCACACATCAGTGTGAGTAAATCCTTATCATTATAATCAATGTGTTCTTATGGTATTTTTCATCATTCTGAATCCTCTAACAAGGAAAAAACTTCTTTGGGCGGCTGTGGCTGAGGGGGAGAGCGGCTGTCTTCCCCATCAGCATGCCGAAGTGTCCTTGGGCAAGATGCTGAACCCTGAATTGCCCCTCATAGAAAAGAAGATGTGCTGCTAATAGATGCACTGTATGAATGTGTGTGTGAATGGGTGAATGGCATGTAAAGAACTTTGAGTAGTCATTAAGACTAAAAAAGCACTATATAAATACAAACCATTTACCATTCTTTGCCTGTTTGTGAGTGTATTTAGACAGGGTCAGGCAGCGTGACCAATAGGCTAATCTAATGATAATGAATACAGTAGTATATTATATAGTATATTCCATATTTGATGTCTTGGTTCACATAGTATTACAATTCAGCTGCTTTATCCTCCTTTTTAATTGAACAATACATTTCTACACTTATGTTATATGAAGTAAGTGAAAATTATGTCTTTGATCCTTCTCACCACAGAAAGATTTCTGTTGTTGCATTAATGTTGAAGATTGAACCGGGTGCTCCATTTCCCCATGTGAGCACTGTGTGGTGGAGCTGAGGCACAGCCACCCTAATGGGAAACACAGACCTGGGTATAAATATCCACACCCCTGTGTGTGTGTGTGTGTGTGTTTGTGTCTGGTGTGTGTGTGTGTGTGTATGTGTGTGTGCTACCAAAGGGGAAGAGCAGGGGTGGGGTTGTGCCAGCACAGTCAGTGCTATGGCAGGGGTAATGAGAACCACACTGGTGGGGGTTAGACCTTGATAAATGACTCATTCCATAACAATGTTCATACCCAAAATGGAGTGCGGGATCATAGACGTGATCTCACAGCAGTCACTTCACTTTCTTGTTTAATATCTTATAGTGCAAGCAACTGCTCAGGTCAAAAAAAAAGGAATAACATGTTGCTGTGAGCAGTTACATATCATTTATAATGATAAGTTATTTCTGAAGTATTGTTTTTTTTCAACAGTCCATTGATTTGAAAACCAGCAACCTTTTAGACACATTTGTTTGAAAATCTCCTCAATATGTCAGTGTCAGATCATCCAGTGCGACAAGCATCTGCATCTGAAACTCCATTTATATATATATATATATATATATATATATATATACATTCAAAAGTGTTTTGTATCCACATTTTCTCCAAATACGATTGACATGGACTCACTCCAGCTAATGTTTCTCCCTCCTCTGGTATGTACAGCTCCAGAAAACAACAACCAAAAAGGTCAAAATAGAAAAATAGCAGGAAATGCTATTGTAGCCATTTGTGTCTCTATACTATTGCTTTTCTTGTTTTTCAGTTGCCCTCCACAGGTGTCTGGAGCAGCATGAGAACTGTTTCCTGTGTTTATTGGCTGATGGCTACAACCTGTCTGGTTTGGAACTGTGACATTTTTTCCACACATATTGTTCCATGTAGATTGGCCAAGTATATATCTAATGGCAATCCAATAGAATGAGGTAACAACATAGATTGTTGATGGATCTTAATTACTTACAGTAGTTACTTACCTTTAGAGAGCAGAGGTAACAGACAAGGGTTAGGATTGTTACTCACTCGTAAGGCTAACCTTATCTGAATTTCACACATTTTCAGTGCAGCAACTGTCTCCCAATAAAGTGGCAGAGTCAGTAGAACTGCTGATGCTACTGAGAATCAACAGTCCTGTTTGAATCTCTTTGCAGGTTCCAGATCTTTGCTTATTTTGGACATACTACGGATTATAAATATGATTGGGTTGTGAAAATGATCAGACCAAGTTGGACAGTTAGTGTTCATTCATTCAGTCCATCAGCAGATGAAAACAGTTTGTGTCCTCTGTGGAGGACCTTAGGATTGAAATGTTAAGAATTAGTTTTTCACCCCATTACAGTTAAACAATAATGACTTATTGAGTTTCTTACAGTTTCCAACAATCTCTTCAGGCAGTCATCACATGGGCCTAAAAGCAGGAAACAACAAACATGTTTCCTTAAAGATAAAGGTTAAATGGTTAACAAAACTTTTTTTTTTTAATATACTGCCTTGGACTGGCTTCACTGCAGATAAACCAGGTAGGATGACATTTTTTTAACTTCACTTTGCACCATAAAAAGCTCTGCAAATGACCTCCAGCACACCAACAATAAAAAAAGTACAGTGACAGTATATTGTAGAATTGTTTAAGGAGGAAAAGAAATAATTCTGAAGTAGCTCCAGAGCATGTGAAAGAAGCAGTCATTGGTCAATCTATTAATTCCAGAGATGTTTTTCTGTCTGTGGCTTGCATACCTCACGAACAGTTCATTTTTTTGGCTCACACTTGGCATATGTATTATTAAAGGCCCAAGGAAGAACAGTATTAAATTTGGTGCGATTTGGACTTGCTCTATGTTCAATATTAATAAACTCTGAATAAACAGGGGACCCGCACTCTGTAGCCGTGGCAGCTGGGACTCATCAAGTGACATTGTTGATGACGACAACGTATTCATGACAATGAACTGATGCTCCAGTTTGTGGTTCTGCGCACTGGGTTGAACTTGACTAAACTTTGAACAGGTGAACAGCTCTTTGTGCAGAAGCGGTGCTGCAGCTTCAGGATTCTTTCCAGCAGTCTGTAGGTCACTTTTATAGTTTCAGAAGGAAAATTGCAACCAGCATCACCACAGGCCAAACAAAAGCCCATTCCAAACAGGCACGTTTAGAATGGGTGTTGCATTAGTGAACATAATTTCAAGTTGTGACCATTTTATATCTTTACGTCACATGTTTTCTGAGATATTTCTTGCTTATGTCTCATTTATTTAAACATTGAGCATGAAACTCTATGCTTAATATTGGAACCACCCTGCCAAAGTACTTTTTTAAAGTTCCATGAAAAAGTGAATGGAATTTCACTGTGATTAAAGGACTACAGTAACTTTCCAGACGGGGATTGCAGCCCAATATCCTGCACCAGCCTGAGATGAGAGGAGGGCAGAGCCGGCCTCCTTCACAAAGCTTTATCCTTCAGATATCATTTTTTGGCTGAGCAGGAAGAAGTTGGATGGAGGGATATGGATTGTGCGTGTATTAACAGTGTATGCGAGTCTGACCAGAAGACTGTGCCAGAGCACGGCTGGCAGCCTCATCACAGGCTTTGGAAGTGAACAATTTGCAGTGCGACTGTTCTGATTCATACAGAACAGCTGTCAAGGGGTGGGTGGGGGGTGGTGGATGTCGAATCATAGCATACGTAGTAGTCAGTGATTTTCTGCAAACAAAGACCTATTTATTTAGTTATGTCTCCTCTATTAGAGATGGACATGCTTTCCGACGAGCCCCTTTCTATGCCCTGGAGAGAGAAAAGAAAGAGAGACTTCAGAGGAAGAGAGAGCAAGACATGGAATTCCAGGCCAGCCTTTATTGGTGCTGTCCCAGTAATATAACCACCCCTCACAAGACAGACATAGAATTTCCCATTCCTTCCAAATCTTGGCTGAAAATGAGGCCATCATTAGCTCTGGTGAGGAGAAACTCTGCCACAGCCCAGAGAAAAGAAAGAGAAAAACACAGTGCCAGGCTGCTTCACACCAGACCTACAGCCTGGTAGATTCTTAGCTATGAACTGATATTTTCCATTCTTCAGCTTGTTTGAAACATTTATTGCCTCCTTTGTCTGAACACTATGTTGATTTCCATGCAGCCTGTTATTTTGTGAGTGCACACAGGCATTTCCTAAAAAGAATGTATTTTTAGGGGTTTTCACAATTCCTCTCAACATATGCTCCAAGACACTGAAGGGAAGCTGTGTGTGTGTGTGTGTGTGTGTGTGTGTGTGTGTGTGTGTGTGTCTTAGAGCAGCCTCTCTCTCCTTTGTGGTCATCCTCCTGGACCTTTCTGTTTGACACAGTAAACCACTAGATCCTTATTTCCTCTGTAATATTGTGCCCCATGGTGGAAGAAGGAGACATGATGCGAGATCTTCACCTGGTGCTTAAATTTATTTTAGTTACCAGTCCCGTGCAGGTACAATGTGAGAATGTACATAGTTGAAAAGAAAATTGAAAGGATACTAAACAAATAAACAAAACTCTTCAAACTGAAGTCAATTACTTGTTACTAAGCCACTCTCTCATGGGCTCTCATCCACACGTCCTCCATGCCCTGAGGAGCATCTACCCACTGCCTTTATAGTGGAAGCCCCTCCTACCAGACAAACCATAGTGACCAACATCAATTAACAAATCTCTATCAGATACGACATTGAAATATATATATATATACCCATCAGCATTTCACCCGACCTAGCCTGTCACAGAAATATCACACTATTATATTAGATGGGCATTTAAAAGAGCATTTCTGTGATATCATTCAAAACACCCCTCTGGACTGGCTTTTATGTGGTACACTCCAGATTCCCCTCTCAATAAATGGAGTTGGAATCTCCCACTTCCTGTTTGCCAGTGGAACCAGGACCCTGCATGAAGGTGAGGGAGGGTGGATATAACATCACAAACATATGTACCCAAAACCTTTAATAACAATAAATGTTTGTGAAATAAAACTGTGTGTCGTTGAGGTTATTTCTGACTATTGGTTGTGGACTCTGTGTATCAGTACAGTTTAGGAAGATTAAATGGTTTGTGAGCACTAGCTTAACAAGCTACCATGCTGCCTAATGATACAGGCATGCTAATGCTACTGATGTGCTGCAAATAATGGTGTATATTAAGTGTTTGCCACCTTATATCTTACAGGGCATGGGGTAACCCCATGACATCCTCCCTTCGGGATCTGGATGTCTCAGACTCAAAGACTGGACCTTCCGGGTAACTAAGAGACAATCTTTCAGAACCTCGTCCGCTCACTACTGGGGTTCCTCAAGGTTCCGCCCTGGGTCTGTTATTCACTCACATAGCTTTTCCTAACACAGCTATGCAGATGACATCCAACAAGTGCTCGTCTGACTGTCTCTAAGTGGATGTCCATGTAAGACCAGCATGCTGTTGCATCACTGAGCGTTTCTTTGGAACAGCCCTGGGTTTGTGTCACTAGTGTAAACAATCTCTGGATTTTCAAGTTATTGTTTACTTGTTTTATTGAACCACAATTTGTAACTTTAGCCAAGAGTTTTAAGATATGACCAAGTTTCTCTTGCTGTAATCCTTCTCCCCCTGCTCATACATTAAGAAGAACTGATTCGCCCCAAATTCCCAGTCCTTTTGTGAAAGAATTGAATTGAGTCCATGCATGTATGAAGTTTCAGCAGTCTGCCTTAATCAATTTGAGTTGAAATCTTCCAGATGCTCTTTTTAATCTACATTTCCCATGTTGCATTTTCCTGGACAGTGCGTCCCTTTGTGTTGCGGTGTAACAAAGAGAGGGAAAAATGCTCCGAAAATGCTGCATCTTTGGAAGAGATCCACTTCATGTGGCTACTCCTTTAAGCTGAAGCCTTTTATTGTCTCAGAGGAAGTGTTGTTTTACTGAGATCGCAGCACTGGAGGAGTTGACAGTCTCACTCTTGTGGAAAGCAGCATGCATCCAGCTGGATAACTGGATGCATAGTTCACATCCTCATTCTGCCGTAACAAAGGAAGTATCTGTGTTTTGCTGGCGATGGGAGGATTTATCAGTGCTACTTCTGCCCGGGTCTGCAATGCAATCTACTGGACCTGCGAGAGCAAATGATACCCCACTAGTGGGCCTCAGGGCGTATTCCACCAGGGGAGTTGTGGCTTTGTCTGCACTGTTTTCGGGTGTGTCAGTGGATAACTGCTTGGCTAGGCTTTGGTCCTCCTCTCCCACGTTTGGACGTTTGTACCTCAGAGGCATGATTGCTGTTTCTGTGACTCATTCAGTGCATAGGCTGAGGTCTGAGATTGCCACATAGGGGTCATCTTCACTTCAGCCTGGCAGGTGAATCTCATGACCCCTTAGCTGGGTGGACCTATTTTTTTTACCTTCTATTGTTCCTGGCTTAAAAGGGTCAGGGCTGGGGTCCAGCTGGGCGTACATGTATCCCTGTGGCCTTTGCTTTACATTGATAGCCAATAGCAAATGATTTTGGAATAGATTTCTCAGTTTTGAAAGGAGTTGAGCAGCTTGTCTTCTGGGTTTATTTGGTCGCCCTGATTGGTAGGTGCTCATAGAGCTGGAGTTACATCCAGTAACTATCTTGGTTTGTGTTTACACAATTGTTTATTAAATTGAGGAATGGATTTAATATTTTGAATAAAATTGAAATCAATTATTGTTACAATGAGACACAGTATTGAATCTAGTCTCACAAACTTCTCAAACTTAAAATGAAAATGTAGATAATTCAAGAGTTTAAAAGGCTACAGGTTTATCAATGTTTTTATGCATTTAATTATTTGATTTATGTTTGTTGTTGTTTTCTAGCATTAGCATATGAACATCCTGTTTGTGTGGGAGCGTCCCTTGCTGTCTTTGCTGCTGTTAAACTTATGACTAGCTGAGTGTTGTGTTTGTTTGGAGCACAGGCCTAAGGCCCTGCTTCTTCAAAATGACAGGAAACTCATTCATCCATCTCCTGTAACCTGAGAACTGCAGGGCCATTGGTACAATACCTCGTCCAAATCTCTGCACTCACTCAAACAGCAAATTACCCATATATCTAGATCCGATCATTTATAAAGAGAAGGAAGTCTTAATCAATCTGCGCAAGCACTATTTCCTTTCATTATACAGTTGCTCATTTGATATTTTTCTGCCCTGAGGGTGAGGGGGATCGTTCGAAGTCTTTCCGCTCTGAATTGCAGCTGTGGAATTCTTCCTACTCACCAACGCCTGTTGCTTACTCAGGAAAACACCCACGGGGTAAGCAACTATATTTTTGGTTGTTCTGGTCAGGCCTTCAGGCTTATAAAATCTTTTCTTCCAGCCAATCTACAATTTTACCTCCAGATAACCCTTTTTGGATATTTCAAATTTTTTTGTATCGACTTCTAAAATTGTTGCTGTCTTTGGCTGCACCAGTCACTATTAATGACCAATGCAGCCTATAATCTCTTTTCTAATCCTGTTTGACATAAACATTTTTCTTATCTCTGTTTCTGTCTCTTCACAACCCATCACTGAGTGACTGTGAATATCAACAACTTAGTGAAGGCCGACAAGCACGGATCTAATCCTATTTCCTCACACGTTCGAAGACTTGGGTTTGGGTTTTTGATGCAGCTAAAAATACATTATGTATATTATATCCACTTTTCCACTGCCTTCTTCTGTTTAAAACATTAAATGGTTATTGGATGTGGACTGTTGCTCTCCCCACATGCTGACGCTGAGATTTTAATGATTTAGACTGTACTTGGACCTGCCATGACCACCACTGTAAAGCAATTTCTCATAGTCCATTTTAATTAACTGAGGAGCTGGGCCACCGCTCCATGCAGTGTCATGGTAAACCTGTTTGAACTCTAAACCACTCTGGTTGGATTTGGGTTTCCCAGCTTCCTGGATTCAATTATATTCTCCAAAAACTCTCACAGCAGCCACACAGAGCAGACCCCAGGATTTTCCAACCCGGGCTGCTGTGTGATATCACCATATTCAATTTAGATAAAATACTGTATGTGCGCATTTGTGTATGAGAGAGAGAGAGAGAGAGAGAGAGAGAGAGGGAAAAGGAGATGTTGTGGTGTTATTTATTCATTATTTTCTCATGTATCGTGTATATAAGAACACAATTCTGCTTAATGTTGACCAGCAGACACACATGGTTGGCATACAGTTGGATTCATATAATGAATAATATTTGCTCTCCTGTTTTGGTCTCCACCAATCTCTGAGAAACACATCTCACTATTCAGCTGCTAAATGCTCCACTGTATGTTCACCAGCTGGATACTAATTTGTCTGTTTGCTGATGAGGTTTTTCTGTCCCTGGAAACAACATTGATTAGACTGAATCATAACAAGTGGTCCATAAAACCCTAATATGAGCTGAAAGCCAAGATACTAATACACTCCATCAAGATTACAGGAACTGTATGTGTCATTTTCTGTGGGCTTTTCATACTGAGTAATCCTTTTCCATTCATTAATCAATTTGTTGTCGTGTAAAAAGTATTGATTAGTGCAGCTATACATTTGTATAATCTGCACACTATTTTTTTAATTTAATTTTGACATATTGAATATGGAAGATGGGCAGCTGCAGGGGAACATAGGAGATATTTGATGGAGTTGTATTGGGGCTGGTAGCTCTGAGCAGTGCGGGTCCAAGGGCAGCCTGGGAAACTCCACAGTCTCCTGTCAAAGGTCTGTGGATGGAGATGAGTAAGTCAGAGGTCAGAGGTCAACAAACAGGGAGGAGATGAGGAGGCCTGTTAGATCCTTTCAGACTCTCTACAGGCTGTGCACATAAGTACCATAACATATGAAACAGGTTTCATCACGCTTTGCCTCATTTGTCTGGAGATGGCAATGTCCACAGCTATTGGTAGGATTTCCATTACATTTGGGAAAGAGATTAATTGTCACCATGGTTTCAGCATTAAGCTCAAGCAGGTCTCCCTCAGTAAAAGCTTGGCTGTTTAACTGGGAAACTGGTTTAAATGTTTTTTGTTCTCAATCAGTGAAGGATTCCAAACTAATTCTCTATTATACTTAGAGATAGCTATGTCAAGGAACTGATCAATTATCCTGCTGAGGAAATGAACTGTTAATAATAGCTGTTGATAATCATAGGTGATGAGAACCCTCTGACAACCTGTAGTTTATCTTCTTAGAGTTTTACCGGTTGTGTGCTATGGGTACGGAGGCCTGAAGAATGTTTTTATGTTTTTGTGCATCCACTGAGAAATGTTTGTACTTTATGTGCACAAGTTTACTCAAAAATCAAATCATAAGAATATATATATATATTCATAGATATTTCACAGCATTCCTTGAGCTTGGTATTTCATAGCATCCAACATTAACATTTGCTGGAACCTATGCTCAACCTCCTGACTGTGTTACCTACTAATAGTCCATGCACCTCATTCAGATGACCTGAAAATGCCTGAATTAAACTAATACATTCACCCTGAGTGCCGACCTGAGCTGGGCCTATTTGCTTAATCCTGTTAATCTAGTTGATATTGCTGCAGGGAGGGGCCTCGAGGTGCTATGGGAGACCCTGATTGGGTGTGATGTCATCTGTTTCTGCTGCCTAACTGGGCTTTGCCTTAAAGTGCTTTCCAGTATGTTTAGAGATCAAAAGCCACACTCGCCAGAGCAGCTTTAATCACCTCCTCTGCTAGGGGCAGGTGTGTGTGTGTGTGTATGTCAGTCTCAGTGTGTGTGTATGTGTGTGTGCATAGTATTGGTTGCTGGGTGCGGATATGCAAAGGGTTGCTGGCATTTCCAAAGATAGCCAGGCTGACATTTCTATTGACTTTGATGTTGATAATCCCTCACAAGTTCCCCAAAGCTAACTGATATTTTATGTGGGCATGTGTGTGTGTGTGTATTTGCGAGTGCATTTGTGTATTTACTCACAAGCTGTTGGGTCAAAATTATTGGTGTTTACCTATGAAAATGTTCCAGATTGGAATGTAAACAGTTTTTTCCATCTATTTTAAATGAGATTTAAAATCCAGAGTAAAATCTCGGGTGATTTTTTGGGGGGAATTTACCGTCTTTGATCCTTGTGATTACCCCATGGACATATCACAGTTAAAGGCCATGACATGACAGTTTAAAGGGCACTTTAATGTTGTGTTCATTTATGGTGAGACGTGGGATGTGCAAGAGATGAAAAACACTTGTCTGGATCTGCATGATTAAAATACCACTTTGGAAAAAATTTAAAAATAACATTTGTTTACTCTTGACTTTTCATGTTACACTAGTAACTGTCATTTGACAATGCTGACTTACTGATGAGGGAATATGACTTAAAGTGTAGTTTTATTGTATTTTCCTTGTGCAGCATAGACAGTTTCATAAACTAATATAGTTGACTCTCTTGTTGTCATATGTTTGCCTCTTGTCCATTTGTCTACATCTGCTCTTATTATTATATTAAAGCCAAATGAGAAACATGCATTGCAAAAGTTAAGATATTGGGATGTCAGTCCTCACATTAGGCTGTTGCAAAACTAATAAATAAATTGAATAAATTGGTCAGTAAATACATTTTGGTATCTCATGACTCTGGTCTACACATTATCATCAGCCAGCAAGGAAGCTGCCACTCACAGCAATATGTTGCTAAAGTTTGCAACAAACCACTCCTCCTTCTGTAACTCAAAAGCTTAACCATAGCTACTGCCTAGAATAAATTATGTTTGACAGTTACAGAACTGCCAATACAAGTTGGCTTCTGCTTCTCATCTTGTATTGTCTTTATTTTACTATGGTATATGTTTTATAGCACACAAGAAGTAACATGAGCTGCTTTCAGACGTACACTGAACCCCACAGATCCTTTGGACATTCTCCAGAGGGGTTGCATGTGTATGTGTATGTGCATGTGCATATTGATGAAGTTTCTCATGCAAGACAGATGCAAAAATGAAACCAAAAATCTAAAACTAAACAAATATCTGTGGAGGAAACTGCAGAGCCATAAATGTGGAAGACGTCAAGAGAGTGTTGGTGAAACAAAAACATGGGAGCAGAATGAATACGATCCTGTTTCTAATTGCTACACCCCCCCCTCACCTGAACCAGCAGAAATGTCTGTGTTGTTGTGAACACATCTTAGTGGAAGGCTACCTTCGGAGAAAGTCAGGAAAGTAATGTTGATGATGATGATGATGAATATAAAGATGACAAACAAGTAGCTTGTCACATGGAACAAAGTGGACTCACAGGGATCAGTCACACTTTGAGTAAACAGTCTAATATGCTGTCAAGATTCAAATTGTTGGCCGTTGGAGTTCTTTAATTTTCATAATCAGCCTCATCCAACCTCATCTTCTGCTCCATCAGGGGTAATGATCCACTGCCAGCTCCAGCAGCAGCAGGAGGGAGAGGAGCCATGGTAGGAGGAGCAGCTGGAGGAAGGGAAGCTTGGAAGAGGAGAGGATGTGTGCGTAGGAGGGGAAGAGGAGCAGCTGGAAGAGGACGAGCAGCAGGAGCAGGGTCTTGATTTACCCTCAATGAGTGAGAAAGACAGAGATAGCATCAGTAAAACATTTCCTATTAAACTGTGAGCATTCATATTTCATGGGTGGCTGTTGCTTGCCATGGCCTTCTGCTATTTGATGGCTTTCATTAAAAATCACAACACAATGCTTCTGTCAGGATTGCAATCATCACGTAAACATACCGACACCCATGCACCTCCATAACTAATTGTATTGTAGGATCCCGCAACTCTCCAGACTTGTCTCGCTATACACCATGGAAGAAGATGGAGAAAGGGCCTCAGGTGCTGAGCCTCCGTCTCAACAAAAACATAATCATTGTCATCAACAAATCATAAAACTGTCTGTATTACATATTTTAATAAAACCAATATGTTTATTAAATTTGCTTTCATGAAAATCATGACAAAAATAATAGTTTTTTTTAAGATATGTTATCATGCCTACCTGTTGCTCATTTAAAAGCTGCATTCTCTCCGAGACTGTACAACCTCCTCTCACAGTATCCAAGTTGGAAAGCTGCATTTAATTGAAAACGTATTTCTTCCCATGCTTTAAGTTTTGTTTTGGATGTAACACCAGAGGCAGATATTTATTTTAGTGTTTTATTTCAAACACTGGATAGGAGCAGCAGCAGGTCTTGTGTCCAGCTGGGGTTTCATATGTGTTTGGGACTATCCATAATAAACCCACCTTGATTGCCATGAAGCCACTTGAATCCATTTTGTTCATTATTTTATATGATGCCAGACATTTTGTCTAATATGCTGCCAATTAGATTGGACTCTATGACATTGTTTTTATTTTCTTGAGTGAACTGAATTGATATATTTGTTGTTTGACCAACAGTTGATATGTTATTATTTCATTTGTGCCATATTAATGTTTTATTTTACATTACATTACTGTGCATGTGTTTTAACTGGCACAGACTGGTCTCTGATCATGTGGTTATAGCAAGCGAGCTCACCATGAGAACTGAAGTCAGCCATAGCAAAAGAGCCTAGCTCAAGAGTTCTCACCTTTCCTGAGTGAAAGTTGATCTCAGCAGCTTTGAGTAAACTTTTAGTGGAACTTGGTATTATACTTTGTGGTAAGATAAAATGCTTTGTGAAATGTGTTCATGTATCGATTGACAGTTGTGAGCTCCCAGGACTGATTTTGTCCTTCTCTGATTCATTAGAGGAACAAGCTTCCTCATAAATACTCATCTGCATTTCTGTTTGCTGTCTCACATCAGCCTCCACATTAGGATATGTTGTTAAGCATATTTCAATATCAAAAAGTGCTATTTTAAGAAATGTCTAGGAAGAAGGTCTAACTATAACTATAAATGTGTCAGTTTTGATCCTACAGTACCTCACATGATGATAGAAATATTTGATCAAATAAGTACTCATTTTATTCATAATCCTAATCTGGGAGTTAATGAGCTAAAACGTGTATGTATAGTATACAGTATATCAATTTAAGACATTGTGAAATATATGTATTTTATTTTTCATATTTACTTTTATTTGTACATATTTAATATATGACAAATAAAAAAGAGCATTTATGAATACAGTTGTCTTAAACTATGATCATATCTTTATCGAAGATACCATTATAAACTATTTTGTATTGTTCTCATGCATACTAAAGTCAATACAATACCTTCACAATATAGGTTTGTAAAAACTGACAGGAGTTAGTAAACCTGGAGCCCAGTCAGTAAAACAGGAGTTTGGGTTAGACTCAGCACAAGAAGCAGATGTGAGGTCTATAAATATCTGACAGATGAACAACCAGCTGTTAATTTGCATAAAGATGAAAAGTCTTATAAAGTCATGTGAAACAGTTTAGATATCATATATCAGTCCACAGTCAGACAAATTGTTAATAAATGGAGATGAGTTTCTGCATTAGCTTCTCACAGTGGAAGTGGGTGACCAGTCAGACGCCTCCAAAAGCAAAATACAAAATGTTCAGTGAGGTGAAACAGAAGCTAAAGGCTTATGGGACTCACTAGAAGTGGATAACAGCCTTGTTCATGAGTCTATGAGAATTATGGTGCATGGCTGCATGGAGCATGTGTGGCTGTAGTCTGCTGAAGAGCAACCGGATACTACACAAGAGGGAAGATGTGTTGTGGACTGAATAAATTGAGATTGAATACTTAGGAACATCTTCAGAATTAGTTCAAACTAAGAAACGTACTCTTCCTTTTGGGGTGGACTAGTCAGAGCACAGTTCATACCAAAATATCCTGAAAGATTCCTTCACTAAAAAGTGCATGTCTTAACATCAGTGGGATAATGAGCAGATGTGCCTGATAAACACCATCTGAGTTATGTTTACCTTGAAATGCAATACATCCTCCTTCCACACAGCAGAGTGATGGTTGTATGTCAGAGGTTAATGGTGTGTCATTAGCCCTGCAGGAGAGTGAGGGGCCACAGACTTCAGAGGTCAGTCAGTCAGTCTCTGTCACTCTCTGAGTAGCCGACCAGTGTATCTGATCAACTTATGAATGAGTGTAGTGGTGAACCAGACCACAGTCTGACCCACTGACGTCTCTGGCTGAGAGACGTCAGTGGGTGATATGAAAAAGCTTTTCGAAAACATGTTTGTTGTTTAAAATGATGCAGAAATAAAATATTGGTGTGTGTCAATTGTGTGATGAATTCCTCAGCTCTCTTTGCAATATTCAAATTGTCCTGAAAAAGCCTGAAAACAGACCCTGCAAAAAAAAGGACATGATACAAATGACAACTTTTTATTTTTGTTTTGAGGTACAACCAATTATTGTTACACACAGGCGGGCATCTGGATCGACCCCTGGTGGCTGGCTGTATTAAGCTCATGAATCCAACCCCCTACATGTAAGCACATGAACCAAAACGAAAAGTTAGAATATGCTGATGCTGATTCATTAACGATACTGATTTATTTACTGTATGTTAAGTATGCTGCAGGGAGGATTCCTGGGTGACTGTTTACAATCGAAACAACTGCTGACATTAGCTGAAAGCACTGATAACCTATTTCTGTTGTGCTCACCTTTACCGTTGAAAAAAAAGTCCAAAAGCAGGTTTTCTCACATTTAGCTTTGTGTTTTGTTTTTCAACAATCGTTGATTTGTGAGGGGCTTTGGACGCCCTCTCCTTGTATTTGATAAAATGCAGTAAGTATCAATTCACTAGACATAAACAACAAAAAAAAGCCAGCTTAAATGAACTTCCTTCACGCCCCCCCTCCTCCCCCAGTACGATGCCCCTGAGTACACCCTTATATTAGCAAGGCCTGTCTGCAGACTGTGCTAGTCCATGCTTGTCTGCTGTTGTCTTTCCTCCGATCTGTGTGTGAATGAACAGGTGCTGGAGTCAGTCACTGACACCAGCAGACTCCTATCACAGCAAAGGGAAGATCCTGTGCCTGAGCAGAAACCAAAGCTTTATCAGGGCAGGTCATCTCCTGCTGGAGGAAGTCATGTCATCTGATATGTTCTTCCCCAGCCTCCTCTTCACCCCGTCTTTATTCCAACTTCCCTCCCACTGTCCTGTTCTCTCCTTTATCCATAATGCATTCAGACGCATCCTCCCCCCCTGTCACTCTTCTACTTTTCTGTACTCAGTTCAAAGGAGCTTATAACACACTATTCTGACATGATTTGCAGTTAAGACTATAGGCTGTGACCACACAGTCTGCTCTGACATACTGACCTGTATGAAGGTATGATCAAACTTCATTTTTACTTCAACACTGCTGAATACATTAAGCTCTTTTTTTCAGGTTTCTATCTAACTGAGGCCTGTTTAATGCAATCATTTACTCAGAGGAGATATATTATGCTAATAATCAGGTTCATGATGTTATTAATTTTCTTCCTCATGTGGTATATGTATACTATATTTCAGGATAAAGTATTGTGTTGTCCTTGTTTCCTTTGGACTGAAGCAATGATTTGACAAAAGAGTGTAATTCTTAGTGCAGCTGCCCAGACTCAGGTTACAGCTCAGCATTTGGAGCTGCTCTCTTTACTGTGGATACATGGGGAGGGGAGGAATAATCAGAGTTGCGGGCGGAAGTGAGATCAGACACCAGAGATTAATTGTGCTGCAATCTAACATTTCTTTACACTTGAAAAGCCTTGGCTGGATCATGTGACTGTCTGAACTTCTAAACTGGAGTATCTCAGTTTTTTCAGATTGCAGGTGAGATCAATCTCACACAGTCTTGTCAGGATGATAGTTAATGTATAATGTGATGTCCTCTTGCTGAGGACATCAATATGCTTACTCTCCCCTCAATCCTGGATCTGTAGCAGCATAAGCACAAGTTTTGATTGAACCACAGGTTAAATGAACAATGTCTTGTACTCTTGGCCTTTGGCCACAGAGCTGTTGGAAAACCCTCTCTTCGATCAGCACAGTGCTAACCCTTTACCACCCACTCCTCTTTTAGAGGCAGTTTACCTGTGCAGACTGAATTTTGTGACACTGGGACACTTGTCGTCATTCCAGAATCTTTGAACCTTCTCGGGACCCCTGGGAGACATGGCTGTCCTTTTCGAGAAGCACACACCTTTTTTACATTTAATTTCTTGCAGTTGCATTTAGTGAGGGGGGCCTGTCTGCTCACAGCTGTTACACCACTACTGCAGCGCGCACACCGCACAAACATAACTCCCCTGTCCTTATGTTCCCACACCTCTCACCTGCCTGCACAAATCTCTCACCCATTTGCCAAAGCCTCTGCTTCCTCTCATCAGGTCTCTGGCAGTAACCCTGGGACTTCTGGATATGCGGATATCTTTCATCCTGCCACTGCAAAGTCAATCATATCCCTCTCACATAGCGCAGTGCCGGATGTTCCAGTGCACAGGAGGACTAGGCCTCCATGTGTCAGTGTGTGCATGAATGTCCGTCACCACCCTCACAGCCCCGGAGATGAGACCGCAGGTATGGTGTTGTGTTAAGAGCTTATAGCTGTAGGCTGAAGATAACTGACTTCTATTGCTGTAATTACACTGTACTCTATTTGTGTGTTAACATGTGTAATAACATATCTGTGGGACCCTTCATGTGCTCACATTTGAGGCTCCACATCTGAACTGGAGAAGAGTACAGAATAAACTGAAGGAATACTGGAAGTTCTCTCTGCATAGAAGCAGATCTGTGTCTGAGGTAACTGGGATCCTTCGCTGCCAGTCAACTTCCCAGCGTTTTTGTTGTGCTTACCCTCGAGGCTCAGCTCTCCATGTTACAACACAACAATCATCATTCTGTCAAACGAGAGAAAAAAAAAACTTCTATATCTGTAGTATTCAATATTTGTGTTGTCCAGCACTGTGTTTACTGATTTTAACTTAACAAATAAGCCTACTGTGGTGTTCGATTTGATGATGTCAAGCTGCTTTCAGAAATCCATATGAATTCCAGAGATGCCCCAGACTTTTTGTGGATTGTATGTGTGAACGCAAATGTTCCAGTGAGTGCCTCCGGACCTTCAGAGAAACTAATCCCAATTCTGAAAATGGCTATTTAAACCAATTTGCAGGTAAAACAACATTCCAAAACTGTGGCCAATCCCAGCTGATATAGGACGAGGGTTGGGAGACACGCTGGGCAGTTTGACAGTCTATCACAGGGCTGACATGTAGTGACAAACAATTGTTCACACTCGCAATCACACTTACAGGCAGTTTTAGATTCTCCAGGCTGCATGTTTTGGGATTGTGGGAGGAAACCAGAGCACTCAGTGAAAACCCATTCATGCACAGGTAGAACATGCAAACTCCACATAAGAGGCAGCAGGCACATTCAAACCCAGAACCTTCTTGCTGTGAGTCAATAGTACTTCTGTAGCATCATGT